AGCCATCACTCTAAACCATGGTTCAAGTCTCACGTACATCAGGGGTCCCTGTGTCAGCATGATCAAATGTGAGCTGAGAGCTGACTACACATCAGAAGCAAAACAAGGGGTATAACGAGGGTTGACTATGCGCTAGAACTCAACCTGTGAGTTCTTGACCTCTAGAGAATGAACTACCAACCAAGCCTAATGTTCTACAGCTTCCTCTTGTCATACACACACAACACTGTAATCTAATAATATACATGTGCATTCACCCAGTGACAGATGGGGCGAAAAGTTTCATCAAACAGGGTCCTCAAAATCTTTTCTAATTTATCCCAGCAACGTTACAACTTTTTGACACAGGAGCAGGTTATACACTCACTGATAGAAATACTTCCGTCCCCCATGTGGGACCATGTTTCTCTTTCTTCTGAACACTGTAGCATTAGCTAGCCAGCCATGTATATCTCCTAAGACACTTTCTCCAGGGAACAGTAACAAGTGTGTGGCTTTTTCTCATGTAAAGAAGACCTGTCAGATACCCACGCGGATGCAACCAAAAATAACAAAATCTCATGGAAATGTTGGCGATACTCTTGTTTCTTTTGTGAGGAAGAGAAGAGCTAATAATGATGCTATTTATTTCCAAGCCAGGACACGGACCCAGCAATCCAGAGAATGCCCGGTGTCCTTGCTGGTCCTGTGGGGCATCCACTCATAAACTGTCACTGAAGCGACCCCTGGGAAGACTAGTGCCTGTCACTTTGTCTGACTCTGGAACGAAGTCCCACCGATGACCCCCAGTCACTTGGAATTGAACGCCAAAGAAATCTTTAATATTGACCCCCATTTACCTTCACCAGTCTACAAAGAGATTGATGAACCCATTAAAAGCAAAGAGAAGACTGTAAGAAAAATATTTACCTAATTTAAGAGACAGACCCATCCAATTTGAGTATGCAGGCTGGTCATCCCTGTGAGATAAGTTCTCATTACTAACTGCTTTTATCTCTCTGTATGAGGGCAGCTCTAGTCGGAATTCCATTTGGAAAAGCAAACTTGTTCAAAATGCTATTCATATTTTAATGAAGTTTCCCTTTAACTTAAAATAGGCCATAGCTCAGAAAAGCACACTCGGAGACCGAAAAGACTGCCTGAAGTTATTCCAGGTTAGTAAAACTTTATAGTTTTAAACACTTTAATCCTTAAATACTGGTTTCGCTAGCACAGACCTCAAGCTTTTTTCTATGCAAACTTTTTGGCTTTAAGAGCTCCAGTTTTATATTCTCCCACATAAAATAAATTCACAAAGGAGAAAAAGAAATATGAAGTATTTACTTGTCTTAGTTGTGACTCCCCTGAAGAGAATCTTGGAGCCACAGATTCAGATGCCTGTTGCTGGAATCTTAAGTTCTCAATTCCTTCTGTCTTAAATGAAACTTCTACCTTTCAATAACCCAAACACTCTGGGGAATAGTTATAAAAATTCTTTATTCTTCAGTCTACAGGAGTGCATGCATGTGAGTGCACATGAGTACACACATATGTGCATGCAGGGAAACACACACACACAAACACACACAAGGGCACAGAGTGTGTCTGCCTGTCTGTGTGCACTTCTATAAAATACTGTGCAGAAAATAACTCTGCTGATATACTTCCTACTCTGTTCTACCAAGCCTTTGCTCAGAGGGGAAAGAAAGAAAGAGGAGGAAGAATGAGAAGACGTGAGGGGGGAAAAGGAGAAGACAAAACACCAGATGTTCTTTTGCTTAGAGCCACAAGAAACATGCAGAGAGCACTGGGTTGTCTTCACTGCAAATGTCTTGTGACCACGAAGATGATGGAAGTATCTTCTCCAGCAGTGTGGCTCTTAGCATGCCAGGACAGACAGTATTGTGGTGGTTGAGGGTGGGATTCTCTGGTCATCAGCTGTGGCTGCCCTTACCCCTGCCCCTGACCCCACATCATCTTAGTGACCGATCATACGTCTCTCTGAGGTGATGAGTTTTCGTTTCCCAAACTCTGTCTGACCCTTTAACAACCGCCATAGGAACTTGTCAAATATACAAATCCCCAGCCCGCCTCTGCCTGGGTCACCACCTAAGAACGAGTGAGAACTTTCTAGAGAAGAATCTAAATTTTCTAACTGAAGCAAACTCAGGCTCTGGCTTTCTGCCCATGTGCCCAGGCAGTAACCACCCGAGCCTCTGCCAAGGCGGCTGCAGAGGCCCTTCTGATAAAGCAAACACGGGGGTTTAAAAGATAAGGTTTGAAGAGAGCTACTGGGAGCTAAATTTGGAAAGCGCAAAACTGGATTTCGGTAAGATAAGGGGGGCAGCAGGCAGGAAGAGTGGGTGCCATGAAAAAAAAATGTTTGTGTGGACTCAAATATTCAGGCATTGCGCTGGAAAAGCATACGAAACAAACCCATAGTGGGGTCGTCCCTCAGCACAGTCCGGGGTAGCTCCACATCCCTGACCTTCACACCACCGTGGGGGTTTAGATTTAATAAATCATCTCGTACATGGCCCCGGGCCCAGGAATACACATACTTTAGTCTCTTTCATAACGAGGGCTGGGAATGAGGGAAGGCTTAAAAAGGAATAACCCCCCTCTGTCTGACACCACACAGGACCAGAAGGCAACAGCCCACCAGATGAGCAAATAATTACCTTCCCAAACCCCTCCTGCTGTTTGAATTTTATTAGCTACAGAATATATTGGAACTTGATCTCCAAATTAAACCATTTTAAAAGGACAGGAATGTATACGTATATTCCATTCTGTATCAAGAAGGGAGTTGGTAGGATGTTAGGCCAAGAAAGTATCCATTGGCAAATAATAACAGCAATCAAGCCCACTGAACAGTAATTCCCTCTGAGGTGCACCTTTGACGCTCTCTCCTCCTTGATCTCTTCTGGCACGCTCCTCAACTTGGGTAGCACCATGTACAGTCAGAGTACTTCATAAATAACGCAAAGAAAAATGAAGTGGGTTAGACCTGAGCCTGCAGGGGCCAATTCCCAAGCAAAAATCCAGAGGTTAACATCAGCCAGGTGAAAATTGACCCGCATCCTCTTGGACATCCTGCTGAAGTTGTCGGCACCTGCGAATCGCGCTGCGTCAATCAGGATGTGCCGCACAGCTGAGCACCCCAAAGAGCCAAGGGTGTCGGTGACGGAAGCCATCCCGAAACCATGACATGATCCTGCTCATCCCCAAAGTCCCTAACGCACTAAAGCCCAAACCACATTTTCAACAACAATAACAATAATAATACCAATAACAAAATGTATCAATGTTTTCTCATGAGAATGGGGGCAAAGATCACCATGACTACAAGAACAAGCCATCTACAGTCATCCCAAACTGCTCTAATATTCATATTTCTTCAGGGTTTCCATTGAGGACTGGATAAATTTCATTCTTATTAAGCCAGAAATGCAGTTAATTTTATTTCTTAAGTAGAAACACCCAACACCAGGGAATGGGGCCCCAGGGTATGCTTATGGTTCAATTTACCCACTTAGTCAACCAGGGATATTTTTTTAACAGTCAAATAAACAGAAGATAGGTGACCCACTGGTTTCTTCTATTGCACAGCAAGGACAAGACAGCCAGACACGGGACGAGAGGACTCAATTAGTCAGAAGCATCTTATTTAGAATCAAGCATATACACAGCTTACACAAAGACTTGGAACCACACATGAAACCTCAACCTGTCTGACTGCGACATGTTAAAACTAGTGGTCCCAATTCCTTGTCACCATGAGCTAAATAAAAAGTGATTAAGACTGAAGTTTCTATAGGCATGCCTTGACTAGTTGAAAACACTCTGACACAGACACACACACACACACACACACACACCAAATGATCTGTAATATTACTTCTATTGGACAAGATGGGAACACAAAGGGAGACGGAAGGAAATCGAGACTAAAACATGAAAAGGAAACTGAGACCCCGTGCCTTGTGAAGATATCATTTAGAATTATGATAGCAGAAAATGGAGCCAGAAAATAACAGCAAGACGACAAAGGGCAGACCACAGGGCATGCCCCGGCTTGCAGGAATGCTATATGTCAAACTGTCTGGTGGCATTTGTATTACTCCTCTGATGGCTATAGACTTATGCATTCTTCATAAAATATACACAGCAGGATTGCTAAAACTACAGTATATTTGAAAATATATACCTATATATATATATACTATATATACATATAGTATGTATTATATTCCTATGTATTTATATTATATTCATATATTTATAATATATGTACATAAATATATAATATATAAATGAATATTAATATATAAGTATATATAATATATATTCTTAAAACACATATTGGAGAGTCACATTTGAGAATACCATAGAATCCCAGAAAAAAACAAATAAGTAAAAGTTAGTGTTCCCTCCCATCTCTGACCATCTATGGGTAGGCAGTTCTTTGCGAAAGGCGGGGAAATGTTTGATCTAAAATGCAGTTTTTCTAATACTGTCACGTAGATGGGAAAAGATTCATTTGAGAAAGGAGGAAGTCTACGGCTCATTCACATGGAAGAAGGGCACGGTATGCAACAGCTCTTAAATCTAGGCCATGACAAAACAAAAACAACAACAAAAAACAATAGGAACAAAAAAAAAACAAAAACAAAAATAAAACAACAACCACCACCAAAACACAAAACAAAAAACCCACCTTAACATCTATCAAGGGAAACAAAGACTATGCCACTCCTCATGGCTGTTGATCTGACAGACATCCTTCAGATCACAGGTTACTGTGAAGACTGTTACAGTAGCATTTTTATTGTAATATTATTCTTTAAACTTTTTCTGCTGCCCCAAAGCCACGTATTTATTTTAATCATGAAAATCATCCTCAAATACGGCTATTTCACAAGCACTTGAGGACAAAGGTGAACAGAACCGAGGCTTATTTCTTCAGCGATTCCGGAAGCTCACTTTTCAAACGTACCTACTCCCCCTTCCAAATTTACCTTTCTTGGACTTGGCCCCGATCTTCAGTTTGGACGGCCATGCAATCTGCGTGTTTGTCTCCTCCATGATCTGAGTCAGGAATCAAGAGAAAAAATATTGATTCAATTAAGAACTTGTATTTACAGACAAGATTTTCACACGTACAAAAAAAAAATTCTTATTTTCATGTCTCTAGCTTCGTGTTGATACAACAAGATGATCTCAGCTTAAAACAATGCAAACATCTTTTTTAAAGCTCGAGGGAGAAGAGGGGATGTGTTTTTCTAAGCCCTCAGTCTATTGAGAGTATCCAAGTCTGTGTTGTCCTCTCCCTGATTCCAGAATTTTAACAGAAACAAGACCTAAAAGTGCAGAGACAATTAACCCAGCTTGTTACCAGGACCATCAGAGATGCTCGTGCTGAATAAAATTCACCCAGGACCATCATCTATATACCAGCCATGACTTTTGTAATACAAAACTATGAGTTAAGCCATATTAAATGAAGATTTCCTCTCATCCCCCCAAATGAAACACATATCTCTCTCCCTCTCCCTCCGTCTCTCTCTCTCCACATTTGTATTTCATTAAGACTGATGAAATGCTTCTAAACACAGCATCCTTTTATAACGCTCCATTTCCTGTCATCCTTCCCGTGGGCCAAGATAGTGTTTACACTATAGCTCCGCCCACTCATATATGCAGCTAATACCAGCAGAAGGCATGGAACCAAAGGGAGCCTAGCACATAGCGTGAGGGAGGACAGGCAGCAGGCGTCAAAAGCGGAGGTGGTGATGACGAGGCAGAAGTCACAGACGACAGCACAAGCGAAGCCAATAAGTAATCTGAAAGGAATCAGAGTCTGTCTCTGAGACAAAACAGCCTTCCTTCCTTGCCAATTCCACAGGACTGTTCAGTTTGTAGCAGGAATAGAAAACTAACTCTGCAGCAGACTAACAAGAAGAGAAAACGCAACAAACTAACACCAAGCAAACCGGCACTCAAGAATTACTCAGAGCAAGACCTTTTCCCCCCTCCCCCAACAGAAAGACCAGGAAGAGCAAGATGAGATTTATTTACTAATATGGATTTAGAGTTAAGGCAGGTCTCCTTCATTCAAGCACCAGACAGTTCTCAGCAAATGTCTCAAGCTGGCAGCCTATCCACAGGTTCTGTCTGCTGTCAGGGGTGTTAGGGATTGGGCCAACATTTGAAGATCCAAGAACCTGGCATCGCAATTCAGATCTCTGATTTTCCGGAAAAGTTGGTGGATCCGGCACAAGGAATTTGTGGCAGCATTTGGCTGGCACCGACAACAGTTGCCTGTTGTGCACTGGGCCAGTGGGCCCTCAGATGCTCCAGAGCCCCACTGTGTCCATGACGCTGAGGTCAAACATCACTTGTATGCTGCTGCTGACTTGTTTGTAGTACTTAATGGTCACTTGGCCCAACTACTGTTTTTCTTGGAAACAGAGTTCTACTTGAAAGCAACAAAACAACAACCAAGCCCCTACTGTCTTTGCTTGGTCTATATACTAATCTGATCCAGAAGAAAAATGGGAATCTATCTCCTTTACCCTCTAAGACCTGATCCCTGCCTGTCTCACCTTTGCTAATTAACTGAGTTGACATCAATATTAATTTGATTAATTCTGTGTTATGGGTTTTGGATTTTGGTGTTGTTTGGGTTTGGGTGGGTTTGTTTGCGGAAGGGAGGGTGGTTTTTTTTGTTTTGTTTTGTTTGTTTTGTTTTTTGGAGGATTGTTTTATTTCTTTGTTTGTTGTTTTGAGACAAGGTCTCACTTACACTGACCTCAAATCTCCAGTCTTCATGCCTCTGCCTCTCAACTTCTGGGGTTACAGAGTGTGGCAACCAAGCCCAACAACTCTCTCTACAGGAGTATTTCAAAGATTAAAATGAAAAAGGAAGTATGTCTCAGTGGTGAAGAGTACTTGCTGCTCCTACTGAGGGCCCGAGTTCTGTTCCCAGCACCCACGTGGCAGCACACAGTCATCTGTAACTCCGGTTGAAGGGGATTTGACGCCCTCTGTTGATCTCTACGGGCACTGCACACATAAGGTGCACATCTCTACACCTTAACAGAAAAGCAAATCTTCTTGTCTTTTTAAAAATACATTTCTTTTTGGTTTTGCAATTATGATATAATTACATCATTTCTCCCATTCCCTTTCTCCCAACCCATTCCCCCGCCCCCCACCCTGTATGCCTCCTGGCTCTTTCAAAATTCATGGCCTCTCTTCTTTTTTTTCATTAACTATTGTTACATCCAAATATGGCTATGTACGTACATATATTCCTGAGTAGAATCACAGCAAACCTTTTCAAAAAAAATGAATAAATAAAAAATACTATCCTTTTCAACTGTCTCTACTCCAGCTGCCCAGTAGATGTCTCCTCCCGGCTGCCCAGTAGATGATATCCCCTACCTTCCTCACCAGTTCAGGACCTGGGAACCTACTGGTCTCTCTTCCCAGCTGTTCTAGTCCAAGGACCTTCTCACAATCAACCTCCAGCCATCTCCTGGCTCAAAGATTCTTCCTGCCCTTCCGTCACCCAATCAGAATCACCCCGACTCTTTACTGTACTTGCCTTCTCTCTTATCCTGATGTCAAGCAAGTATTCTCTTACCTTCCCAGTTTACAATTTCACAGTTCAAAGGAGCACACAGCAAGCACCAGGTATGTTTAGGCAAATGACTCTGATAATGCCCTTACTTAGTTACCTACCTGGAGTGAGGTACCATTCTCAGCCAAGTCTGACTACATCATATGGGGCAAGTTAGTCTCATTTGCCATCCATGAAAATTTTTTGTAGTATCTACTGCTTGAGCAGTCACAAGGACTTGAAAAGATGAATGGAATCCTGACCCAGTAAATGCTTACTGATGCTGACGGCTGTAAAGAAGCCAGCTAGCTCAGAAAGGGCGCAGACAGTCTCTCAATGGGAGGAGTGCTCAGGGGAGATTCAAAAGGACATGTGGAAGAGAATCAGTCAGCCCAAGAGAGGCTTTGGGTCTCAACTTGTGCTATGAGGAAGGATTAGGTCTCTTACCATCTGTGTGTATGGATAAGCCCCAAACAGACTTGAAGACGTGGCACAAACCAAGACCTTCAGGCTCCTGTGACTGAGTGTCACGTTGGTATTGATAACTGATGATCAGGTAAGAAGCTACAGCAGGACGGAACAACTTATTTTGCCTCTACAGACGGAAGTTTCCCCTCAAGAGCTTATCAGTGAATGGGGTAACTTGTCAGTCTCTTCAAGGATGGCAGGGCCAATGTATCCCAGTGGAATTGGAATCAGGAAAACTATGAGAAGGGGGGAGGGTGAAGGAGTTCAGGAAGCAGTCTCCGTAGGCACAGTGCATAGAAGAGCCACAGAGATGAAGCTGACTCCAGCACAAGAAACAGCTCAAAGGATGTGTACGCAGCAAGCTATACAAAAAGGTTTCCAAAATGGACCAAAGGGGGAATGGAGGAGGCGAAGTCAGGAAGCTATGGAAGAGAAATTTACTATATGAAGCCCCTAGGAAGAAAATGACCATCTTAGTCTCAGAAGGAAAAAAAAAAGACAATTTCTGAAGTGACTTTCAGAAAAAAAAAATGGTTCTACGCTTTCTTCTGTGGTTGGTTGTTTGCTTCTGTGACTTCTGCTGTGCCAGCTTCTATGTGCCACATGGCCAAAGCCCAGAGAACAAACTGCTGACTTCACCTCACCTTCTATAGACATTTAAAAAAAAAAAGTATCCTTTAAAATTATGGAACTAGGAAGAAAATTGTGTGGCTTTGTAGTGGGTGGAGGTCCCTACTTCTCTTTACTAAGAGGGTCTCCTGTGTTTCCTAAGGTTGTTTAGTTATTACCAGGAAGTCACTTCCCAGAAACCTGCTGTGAGCCTTGGTTCACATGTAAGTCAATACTCTGTCCAAAATGTTCCATTTCCATCCAAGGACTAATTGGATTAAGTGGCTAATTCTGACCACCTCTCTCCCCAGGAGGACATTGATGTCCTCAGCCGGGTGAAAAGCGACCTCAGAGTTGGGAAACGGCCTAAAATGCCTCTTGCTTCCTTATGGAAATAAAACTATAAATACCATTGTGTCAGCTAAGCTACAGAACGCAGAAGTATGCCAAGCCACAAAAACCTTGGACAAAAAGAAAAAGACTGCTCTCTGCACTAAAGGGGAAAAAAAAACACGTGAAAGTGAGTTCAAGATAGACTCTGGGCAGGCATGCACATGCCACTCGCTTGTGGAAGCCAAAGGTCAACAATAAATGTTGTCCATCAATCTCCATATTTTGTTTACTTTATTCATGTGCGTAGGATGCGAAGGATGGTGGGCAAGTTGTGGTGAGTGTCTGGAGGTCAGATGACAACTTTAGGAGTTTGCTCTTTGCTTCTATCATCTGCATCCTGGGACAGAACTCAGGTCATCAGACTTGGCCGCAAGCGCCTCTGCCTGCTGAGCTAACTTGCTGGCCCCTCTGCTTTATTTCTTGAGACAGGATCTCTCATGGAGCCTGGAATTCACCAATGTATGAAGAATTTCTGACCAATAAAGTCCAGAGATGCAGAGATGGAGAGATGGCTCAGTGGTTAAGAGCACGGGCTGCTCTTCCAGAGGTCCTGAGTTCAATTCCCAGCCACCATATGGTGGCTCACAACCATCTGTAATGGGATCCGATGCCCTCTTCTGGTGTGTCTGAAGACAGCTACAGTGTACTCATATAAATAAAACAAATCTTTTTTTAAAAAAAAAGTCCAATGATGTTCTTTTCTACAGCCCTGGGCCCTGAGGTTACAGATGTTGGTCACTATAGTCAGCTTTCTACTTGGGTGCTGGGGACTCGAACTCAGGTCCTCACACTTGTGTGGCAGGTATCTTACCAACTGAACCATCTCTGGAGCCCCTAAGAGCTTATGTTCTTAAAATCTTAATATTGTTCCCATCTTCCTCAAACCTAAACTCAAAGGAAAAAAAATCACACTGTGAATAATTTTCTGTAAACATTCAATCATTTCTTAGGTTATATTTTTGACACAATATTTTGCCATGTAGCCCAGAGTGGC